GCTGCTGCTGCTGCTGCTGCTGCTGCTGCTGCTGCTGCTGCTGCTGCTGCTGCTGCTGCTAGTGCTGGTTGTGGTGCTGCGCCTTTTTCTTGTTCTGCTGCTGCTGCTGTTGCTGCTGCTCGCACTGCTGCGCGTACTGTTGTTTCTGCTGCTGCTGCTGCTGCAACAAGTGGTGTAACTGTTTCTGCTGGTGCTGCTGCAGCAAGTGGCGTAGCTGTTTCTGCTGCTGCTGCTGCTGCTGCTGTTCGCGGTGCTGCGCCTTTTGCTTCTGTCGCTGCTGTGCAAGGCTTTGCTGCTGCTGCTATTTTTCCTGCTGTTGCTGCTTAGAGCGATGCAGCTTCTCTTAATTCTGCTGCTGCTGAAAGCGCGGTTGCTGCTGCTGTTTCTGCTGCTGCTGCTGCTGCTGCTCGCATCGTTGCTGCTGTTGCTGCTTGAGGTGCCTTTGCTGCCGTGTTTATTGGTGCTGTTGCTGCTGCAGCGCTGCTGTTGCTTCTGCTGCTGCAGCAGTTATTCGTGCTGCTGCTGTTGCTGCTGCTGAAGTTGTGCTGTTGCTTCTGCTGCTGCTGCTGCTGCTGCTGCACCAAAGACGCCTGCATGCATCCTGGGCGTGTGCAGCTTTTTGGTCCCTTAGCGTTTTCCAGTTCACCTGAAAGTAAAAATAAATAATTAAAATAAAAAGGAAATTAAAAAGAATTAAAAAACAAATAAAAGAATAAACTTGAACTGGTTTTATTTGCTTCTTGAACACGCAGGCGCCATTGGGGGCCGCTTTGACCACTCAATTGCTTCCGTCAGTCTTTTGCACAAACTTTTCAAAAATGAAAATCCAGAAAACCTTCCAAAGGTACGGACGCGGCGTTCCGGGTGTACGTACACCCCGAGGTGTACGTACACCCCGAGGTGTACGTACACCCGGAGGTGTACGTACACCCCGGGTGTATGTACACCTCGACGTGTATGTGCATCCCGAGGTGTACGTACACCCCGAGGTGTACGTACACCCCGAGGTGTACGTACACCCCGAGGTGTATGTACACCCTCAGGTGTACGTACACCCCGGGGTGTATGTACACCTCGAGGTGTATGTGCATCTTTCTGGGGTGTACGTGTACACCTCAAGATGCGCAGCTCTGCGCGTCGCCGCAGCATGCAGAACCAGCTGCTGCTGCTGCTGCTGCTGCTGTTGCGCCTGCTGCTGCTGTTGCTTTCGCTGCTGCTGTTGCTCCTGCTGCTGTTTCTTCTGCTGCTGCTGCTTTCGCTGCCGCTGTTGCTTTTGCTTTTGCTTTTGCTGCTGTGGCTCTTGCTGCTGTTGCTTCTGCTGTTGCTATTGCTTCCGCTGCCGTCACCTTGGTTCCGCTGCCGCAGCTGCCGCTGAAGATTTAGGGTTTAGGGTTTAGGGTTTAGGGTTTAGGGTTTAGGGTTTGTGTCAGGTGGTGCTGCTGGGCGGCTACAACGCCTGTGCACTTTTGCCTTCGGGCGAAAATCAAATTTTTGTCTCTGACGAAATTTGCTCAAAAGTTTGCGGACTTTTGCCAATGGGTTAGTTTTATTCTTTTTATTCTTTTTAATTGCTTTTTTATTTATTTCCATTTGCTGTTGCTGTTGTTGCTGCTGCTGCTGCTGCTGTTACTGCTGCTGCTGTTGCTGCTGCTGCTGTCGCTGCTGCTGCTGCTGCGACCCCCGTAGCCGCCGCCACTCCAATAGTAGCTGCGGGTGTTGCTGTGCAGCTTCTGCCTCTGTTGCTGCTGCTGCTGCTATCATTTTGCTGCTTCTCTTGCTGCTGCCAGCACTTTGCTGCTGCTGTTGCAGCTGCAATCTCTTTGCTGCTGCTGCTGCTGCGCTGCAGCAGGAAAGGTGGAGAGCGTGACGACTGAGGGTTTGAAGTGGGAGTTAAAAGACAGGTCTTTGGCTGTGGGGGAATTAATTAGTTCTTCCAACTGGGTGAGGCGTGGCGCAGCCGCAAACCCTAAACCCTAAACCCTAAACCCTAAACCCTAAAAGAGGCCGGAGGCGTCTGCTGCTGCTCCTTCTGCTCCTGCTGCTTCTCTTGGTGCTGTTGCCCCTGCTTTTGCTGCTACTCCACCTGCTTTTGCTGCTGCTGCTGCTGCCTTTGCTGCTGCTGCTGCTGCTGCTGCTGCTGCTGCTCTTGGCACTGTTTGCATTTCGCAAATTGGGCTGAGTTGCTGCTGTTGTTTGTTTGTTTTGTTGCTTTGTTTAGCGTCTGAAGGACAAAATAAAAGTGAAAACTTCTTCTCCTCTTTTGTTTTTTTCGCAAATAAATAAAAAAGCTGTTGCACTTCCGGCAGAAGCAGCAAAATGAAAAGTGTCTTGGGGTGTATCCGCAGCTGTCCAGACACCGCAACGCACTTACCAAAGTGTTCATTTGCATTTATTTACATTTTTAATTTATTTATATTTGCTTTTCTTGCTTTAGTTTCCTTTATTTGCTTTTCTTGAGTGCAAAGAACTACCAAAGTGCTCACTTGTACTCATTTACGTTTTTAATTTATATATATTTGCTTTTCTTGCTTTAGTTTCTTTATTTGCTTTTCTTGAGTGCAAAGAACTATTCAAACCCTTTGCATGCATTTGCATTTAACTTGCTTTATATACCTGTGTGTCAATTGTATATCTTTTATATATAATGTATATTATGTATATTTTATATATTGTGTTTGTGTAATATATTAATATATATATATTATATGCATGGTTTGTATTATTTATATTATTTATTATATATATGTTATATATATTATGGATGTTATATTATGTATTGCATATACATTATATTATATGTCTACTATATATCTATTGCTAGATACATTGCACATTATTCATATGCACGCATGCTAATGTATCAAATGTACATATAAATAATATACATATATATTAATATATGTATATACATGTATATATATATTTATATGTATATACATATGTATATATATATATATTTATGTATATGTATATATATATGTATATATATATATGTATATACATATATATGTAAATATATATATATATATGGATGTAAGTGTATATGTATAATATACATAATATAAATATTATAAATAAATATTCTACATAAATGCATACATAATATATTTATTATTTAGATGTATGGGTGCGTCTCTATTAGGAGTTTGAATGGTTGAATTTATGCGAAAATGCGTTGAAGAGAAAAAACATTTATTTTCAAAAAATGGAAAACGGTGAAAAACGGAGAAACCGTTTTACTGAAGTGTATCTACACTCGCTTTGATGCGGTGTACGTACACTCCGAATTATTTAGAACAAGACGCGAAATTTCGAATTTGTGAAAAGACAAAACAAATAAAAAATAAGAAGATTGAAACTAAGTTAGAAAGAACAAGAGAAAAAGGAGAAATAAACAAAAGCAAGAAAGCAAGAAAAAGTTTTTTTTTATTTGTCCTTTTTCTGGAACATAAAGGCCAAAAAAAGAGAAAAAAAATTTGGAAAAAGAATAAAAAGAGAGAAAGTGAAAGAAAGAAGAGAAAAAAAGACAAAAAACAGAAAACAAATTAAAAAGAGAAAAGAGAAAAAGACAAAGAAACAAGACAGCAGCAGTGGGGCCAGAAAAGCAGCAAAATAAATGAAAGAAAATAAAAGAAAAAAAATAAAGACAAAAAAAGATTAGAAGCTCGAGAAAGAAAAAAGAGTCAAACAGATAAAAGATTAAAAAGACAGAAAAATAAACGAAAAGTCTCTGCATGCGCTGCATGCAGCAAAGCCCCAAAACTTTGGCTCTAATTTGGGGCCCCCAAGAGGGCCCCAGTCTGTCTTTGGCTCTTGTCAGTGAAGCCCTTCTGTTTAGCTAGCTAGCTAGCTAGCTAGCTAGCTTCTGCAAGAGGTCCCCTGGCTAGCTAGCCACCTAGCTAGCCAACTAGCTACCTAGCGAGACATTTGGCTAGCTAGCTGTCCGGCCCTCTAGCCACCTAGCTAGCTAGCTATATACCCAGCTAGCCATTTAGTTTGCTAACGATTTGCCTAGCTAGTGATTTAGCTAGCAACCTGGCTATCTAGCCACTTAGCTAGCTAGCTGTCTGGCTAGCTAGACACCCAACTAGCCAGCTATCTAGCTATCTGGCCAGCTAGCCTTCTAACGAGCTAGCTAGCCAGCCACTAGCTAGCTCGCCGCAGAAGCATCCAGGCTGCCAGCTAGCTGCCAGCTCCGCTGTGTCATTTAGAAGGCCAGTTACGTCAAAAGACAGCAAGCCTTTTCCCGTAGCGAGCTAGCTAGCTAGCTGGCTAGCTACCCAGCCAGCTAGCTACGTCTTCAGCTAGCCAGCTAGCTAGGTCGCCAGCTAGCTACATCGCCAGCTCTCTAGCTAGCTAGCTAGCTAGCTAGCTAGCTCGCTAGCTATCCATCCGAACAGGCAGCTAGCTGGGCAGCTAGCTAGCTAGCTAGCCAGCCAGCTCGCTAGCTAGCTAGCTAGCCAGCTAGCCAGCTAGCTAGCTAGCTGGCTTGGTGCAGCAGGAGACCAGGCTGGCGAGGCGAAGGGCCCCCCTGCAGCGCGGGCAGCAGCGGCCAGCCCGCGAGAGGGCCCCGTCTTGGGGCCCCCAGCCGCAGCCGCGGGCTGCATGCGTTTCTGGGGCTTCCCCGCCGCATGCAAAGGCCCCACACAGCAAGCAGCAGAAAAAACTCAGCCCGTGAGGCCCCCCCTCCCCTGCTGCTGCTGCTGCTGCTGCTGCTGCTGCTGCTGCTGAGGAGGAGGAGGGGGCTGCTGCGGATGAGGCTGCTGCTGAGGGTGCTGGTGACGCTGCTGGTGAGGACGTTGTTGAGGCTGCAGCAGCAGCAGCATCTGCTGCTGCTGCTGCTGCTGCTGCTGCTGCTGGAGGGGCGTGCAGGGGCAGGGGGGCCCCACGGGGGCCCTCGCTTCCAGTGTACAGACACCTCAGGCACTGAGCGCATGCAGGAAAGCAGTGGCCATGAGCAGCACAAAAGTAGCAGCAAAAAGGGGGGAAGCTGCTGCAGCTGCTGGCCCCACAAAGGGGACACAGCTGCAGCACGGCCTGCCCCGCCTTTGCTGCTGCTGCTGCTGCTGCTCCCTGCGGAGCAGCAGCCCCGAACTCCCGCGCCAGCAGCTGCAGCACGGCTGCTTCCTCTACAGCCACCACGCTGCTGCTGCGGGTGCTGCTGCCAGACTCAGCTGGCTGCTGCAGCAGCAGCAGCAGCTGCTGCTGCTGCTTGCTGGGGGCGCCCTTCTTCAAGAATGCTGCGCAGTTGGGGCTGCGGCTGCGAGGCAGCAGGCAGGCCACCAGGGCCCGCAGGTGCTGCAGCAGCAGCAGCGTCGCTTCCTGCTGCAGTGCCTCAGCAGCAGCAGCAGCAGCAAAAAGGCGGCACACCCGCCGTGCTGCTGCAGCAATAACCCGCTGCCGGAAAAGCACGCAAACCCCAAGCCAGCGGCTGCGGGGGCCCCTGGGGGCCCCCTGGGGGCCCCCTGCTGCAGGCTTTTGGCTGCCAATGAAAAGCAGGAGACTTTCTGCTTCTGCTGTTTCTAATAAAGCAAGCCAGAGACCCCCGAAGTCTATTTTTGCTGCACTTTTGTCTCCTTTTGCTTCTTGGGATTTAAAAGCCAAAGCACATGCTGCGCTGAGGGCGCTCCGGGGCGTACCTGTTGCTGCTGCTGCTGCTGCTGCTGCTGCTGCTGCTGCTGTTTGCTGCTGCTCGCTTTCTGAGGCAGCAAACAAGCTGGACAGCGGCGGGAAAGACACGGAACTTTCCTGCCGCGGACTCCCATTGAGAGCAGCAGCTGCTGCTGCTGTCGACGCTGCTGCTGCTGCTGCTGCTGCTGCTGCTGTGGGTGTTGATGCAGCTGTTGCTGCTGGTGCCTCTGCGCAGTCGCTGTCCCAATCTGAGGGGAGCGACAGGTCGTCTTCGTCCTCTAGCTTTGCTGCTGCTGCTGCTGCTGCTGCTGCTGCTGCTCTGCCTCTGCTGCTTTTGGTTTTGCTGCTCTCTTGCGCTTTCCGCTCAGCAGCAAGAGGCCGCTGGTAGGGCCCCCGAAGTGCCAGACGCAAAGCCCACAGTTGCTGCTCCTCTGCGCAGCACCGCGCAGCAGCAGCAGCGTCTGCTGCTGCTGCTGCTGCTGTTGCTGCTGCTGGGGCTGCGGGAGGCGCCGTAGCTGCTGCTGCTGCTGCTGCTGTTGCTGCTGCTGGGGCTGCGGGAGGCGCCGTAGCTGCTGCTGCTGCTGCTGCTGCTGCTGCTGCTGGGGCTGCGGGAGGCGCCGTAGCTGCTGCTGCTGCAGCAGCACAGGCAGCGGACTGCTGCTGCTGCTGCTGCGAGGCCTGCAGCAGCTGCTGCAGCTGCCGCTCCAGGCTCAGCAGGCCAACTGCAGCAGCAGAAACTGCCAAAGGCGCCACTGCAAGTTGAATATTAATTTCATTTTGCTGCGTCAAGATGAAGAGCAGCGAGCCGCAGCAGCTGGGCAGCAGAGCTGTACATACACCCCGAAGAGGCGCAGCAGCAGACGGGAAGGCGGCGCTGAGAGTGGCAAATTGGAGCTCTTTAATCATTTAAATCAATTAATTGTTTTCAATTTGTTTATTTATTTATTATTTATTCAATTATTATTAATTTGCTCTTCTTTTAAAGTCAAAACCATGCAAGCAAACCCGCACAAATACCTGCTGCTGCTGAGACGGCCCCAGCAGCAGCCCGCTGCAAGCAGCTTGCAGCAGCAGCAAAGCAGGCAGCAGCAGCAACAGCAGCAGCAAAATAAACAGCCGCGGCACTAAATTAGCAGCGGCAGCGGCAAAACCAGCGGCGGCAAAGTTCACACCAGCAGCATCAAAAGCAGCAGCAGCAGCAACAGCGAAAGCAGCAGCAGCAGCAGCAGCAGCAGCAGCACTAAAATCCATTCTCACTCAGCAGGCGGCGGCTGAGAAGGCCCCTGAGTCTACGGGTCTTCACACTTGGGGGGCACAAGCCGCTCCAAGGGTCCCCGTCTTCTCCCCAGTTCTCCCTCGTCAAGCAAGCTTGCTGCTGCTGCTGCTGCTGCTGCTGCTGCTGCTGCTGCTGCTGCTGCTCTTGCTGCTCGTGCGCGGGATGGTGCTGCTGCTGTGCCTCTGCCGATGCGGCTTCGGCGAGCAGCTGCTGGTCCACTTCAAGGCTTTCCACGTTTTCCGTCGCATCGCCATCGTCCTCACCTGCAGCAGCAGCAGCAGCAGCAGCAGCTGCTGCTGCTGCTGCTGCTGCTCGCGCAAGGTCTGCTGCTGAGGCCTCAGGCGCAAGGGCCCTAAAAGAATGAGCAGCTCTGGGCATCAGCAAATCCTCGATGCGGCCCGTGGGGTGTATGGACGTCACAGGGGCCAGCGGCTGCAGCACCCACTGCAGCGGCTCCGTGCTGCTGCTGCAGCAGCAGCAGCAGCTGCTGCTGCTGCTGCTGCAGCTGCTGCTGGCTGCTGGGGCCTGGCCACTAACTTCGGGGTAAAGCACAAACGGCAGCAGGGCCCCTTTGCTCACAGCTGCCAGCAGCAGCAAAAACGGCTTGTCTCCTTGCTGCAGCGCCGGCAGCTGCTGCACTGCTGCTGCTGCCTGCAGACACAGCAGCAAAAAAGCCCGCAGCAAACTCTTCTGGTGTGTACATACACTCCAGAATAAAAGCCCCAAAGACTCTCCTACTCGCTTCTAGAGGCCCCCTAAAGGGCCCCTCAGGGGGCCCCCAGGGGGCCCCTAGGGGGCCCCTACGGGGCCCTAGAAAGGACCCAGAAATGCCCTGAAAGGGTCCCTAAAGTAACCCAAAAAAGCTTCAAAAGGGCCCCTTTAGGGGCCCTTTCGGGGCCCTTAAAGGGACCCTGAAGGGCCCCCTAGGTAGTGCCCATATGCTTGGCTTGAGGGCCCCCTGCAGGGGCCCCCAGGCACCCCCCAAAAGGCCCCAAAAAGACCCTTTAGGGGCCCCTAAAGGGGCCCCTAAAGGGGCCTCTAAAGGGCCCCCTAAAGGGGCCCCTAAAGGGGCCCCTAAAGGGGCCTCTAAAAGGGCCCCTATAGGGGCCTCTAACGGACCTCTAAAGGGGCCCCTAGGGGCCCCTTTAGGGGCCCCTAAAGGGGCCCCTAAAGGGGCCGCAGGGGGCCCTCAGGCCTGGGTATTACGCGTGGGGTCTTTGTAAGGAGCTGTGGGGGCCCCTTGGGGGCCCCTGGGGCCCCCAAGTAAAGGACATTTTATTGTTGCTTTTGAGTTTAAGTTGATTTATTTATTTTTAAATTGCAGACAGAAGCTAGAAAGCTTCAAAGACTCACTAAAGGGAGGGGGGCCCCTGGAAGGACACAAAGGCTCACGGGGGGCCCCTCGGCGATCTGGGGGAGCCCCACGGGGAATAGGGGGGCCTCGGCTCTGTAAATCTGCTGCTGCCTGCTGCAGCAGCAGCAGTCAGCAGCAGCAGCAGCAGCAGAAGCAGCAGCAGCAGAGGCAGCAGCAGCAGCTGCAGCAGCGCAAAGGGGTGAAGCTCGCATCACCGCCACACGCAGCCAAGAGCCGCAAATGGTGGCAGCGATGCGCCAACAGCTGAGCAGCCCTAGAGCTTGCTGCTGCTGCTGCTGCTGCTGCTGCTGCTGCTGCTGCTGCTGCTGGCGAGGCGTCTGCTGCTCCACGCCTACGTAAGGGCCGTTTGGCGCTGCTGTAGTTGCTGCAGCAGCAGCTGCTGCTTCCATTCTTGCTGTTGCTGTTCCCGCTTCCGCTTCTGCTGCTGCTGCTGCTTCTCTTCCTCCTGCAGCAGCAGCAGCAGCAGCAGCTGCTGCTGCTGCTGCGTTATCCAGAGGCAGCAGCGCATCGCTTACGTCCGCCAGCTGCAGCAGCCCGCTGGGCCCTCCTGCAGGCCTCAGCAGCAGCAGGGGCTCTTTTGCTGCTGCTTCTATTAGCACAAACTCCGTCAGTTTGCTGCAGCAAGCGGTTTGCTGCTGCTCGCTGCAGCACCCCACAGCCCCCGGGGGCCCCGGTGTCTGTACACCCGAAATCCAGCAGCAGCAGCTGAAGCGCCACAAGGCGCCGCTGCTCATAGCAGCAAAAACTTGGAAGCTGCAGCAAATAGAATCCAAAGTCTCAGGAGACTCTGAGCCAGAAAAGACGCGCAGGGGCCCCATGGAGGGAGGGGCCCCCTTGGGGGCCCCCTTGGGGGCCCCCCTGGGGGCCCCCTTGGGGGCCTCCTTGGGGGCCCCTGTTGGGGCCCCCCTGGGGGCCCCCTTGGGGGCCTCCCCTGCTGCCGATACGAAAGTTCTGCATACTTGGGGGCTGCTGACAGCCAAGTCCGTTATGATTCCATGCGGGCGAGGAGGAGAAGCGTTGCTGCTGCTGCTGCTGCTGCTGCTGCTGCTGCTGCTGGTGTTCGTTTGAGGGACAGTTAAGACCATCAGCAGCAACGGCTGCACGAGTCCAGCAGCAGCAGAGGCCCTCTTTGCATATACTGCTTCGCGGGCAGCATCGGCAGCTCGGCGCCACTTTTGCTGCTGCTGCTCTGCTGCTGCAGCAAATTCCTTTGCTGCTGTCTCGTTCCAACCAGCAGCAGCAGCAGCAGCAGCAGCAGCGCTCCCGTCTTTTTTGGGCTGCTGCTTTGCATTCTTCTTTTTCTTTTTGCCTTTTCCGGTGTCAGTGCCGCCTCCAGAGTCAGAAGCTTCAGCGTCGCTGCCGGCGTTGCTGCTGCTGCTGCTGCTGCTGCTGCTGCTGCTGACGAGGCTGACTGAACTCGAGCTGCTGCTGGGGGACTCCGAAGCAACAAAGCTCGCAGAAGAAGGCGAAGTGTCTCCTTTGTCTTTTGTTTGTCTCTTTTGTCCTTTTCTTTTGGCTGAAGCCTTTGAGCGGCTGCTGCTGCGGCTCCCCTTCTTCCCCCCTGCTGCTGCTGCTGCTGCTGCTGCTGCTGCTGCTGCCCGCCCTGTCTTCTTCTTCGCGGGCAGCTTTTGCTGCTCCTCTTCTGCCTCCGAGTCCTCCTCAGCTTCTGTCTCTTTTCCATTTTCTTTTTCGCTGTCTCCGCTGTCCCCTGGGGGCCCCCTTCCCTTATGAGGGGGGCCCCCCCTGCCCCGCTGGGCCCTGGAGCCCCCCCTGGGGGCCCTGGGGGCACCCCTGGGGGCCCCCTTAGGGGCCCCCTTGGAAGCCCCTTTGGGGGCCCCCTTGGGGGCCCCCTTGTGGGCCCCCGGGGCCCCCTCATCTGAGCCGCTGGGGCCCTCCGGGTCTGTTGAAAGCTCTCCAGAAAGAGTTGCAGAAACTGCAGCACGGGCCCGCCGTGTTGCTGCTCGTTGCGGGCGCCCCCCCGCTGCTGCTGCTGCTGCTGCTGCTGCTGCTGCTGCTTCCTCCTGCATCCCAGGTGTACGTACACCCGGGCTTGGACTCCGGCTGCTGCAGGCTCCACCCCTTGGAGAGGACCTGGGGGCAGAAGCAGCTTCGTGGGCGCTAGAACGAGCTCCGGCCCTGCTGCAGGAGCTGCTGCTGCTGCTGCTGCTGCTGCTGCTATTGCTGCTGCTTGTGCTGCTGCAGTTAGCGTGGCGCAGCTGCGACCCGCTGACCAGGAAAACGGCAATGAAGCCTTGGGAGGCCACAGCCACGAGAGAGCCGCTGAAAAACGCCCCTCTGATCTCCTCGCTGCTGCTGCTGCTGCTGCTGCTGCTGCTGCTGCAGGCAGCTGCTTCTGGGCTATCGCTCTGCGTCCCGCGCTGCGCTTTCTGCTGCTCCTCGGGCTTCCAAGGGAAGCAAATTGAATCAGTAGCAGAAGCAACAAGAGGTTCATCTAAAACCATCGGAAGGCCACTTCGAAACAGTTCAAAACGCTCACAAGTCATTTGACCCCCGGGGGGCCCCCCGGGTACTTCTAGGGGGGCCCCCCCTGGGGGCCCCCCAGGGGCCCCTCGAGCAGCCACCCCAGAAACCCCTCCAGAGGGGCCCCCAAGGGTACTTCCAAGGGCCCTCCCAGAAGACCCTGTTAAAGAACAGCCCCCAGCAGAGGAGGGGCCCCCACCTGGGGGCCCCTCCGCTGGGGGCCCCTCTCCTGGGGGCCCCCTTGGGAGCCCCCCGGGGGGCCCCTCGGGGGGCCCCTGGGTTGGGTCCCAGTGCCAGAAGTACACATAAGGGGGGGCCCCCAAAAGGCCTTCAGAGCTCTCGAGGCGCCAGAGGGCACTTAAGTCTGCTGCGAGGCAGAGGCGCTGCAGGCAGAGGCAAGCCAAACCCTAAACCCTAAACCCTAAACCCTAAACCCTAAACCCTCAGCCTCAAGTATCCTGCTCTTCGCAACGAGCCTGAAGCCCAAACCCTAAACCCTAGACCAAAACAACTACTGGGAATGCAAAGGCAGGCCAGAGCAAGTTCCCTCAACAGCCAAAAAACACCTTCAGCTGTGAACCTTCTAAACCCTAAACCCTAAACCCTAACCCCCGAACCCTAAACCTTAAACGCTAAACCCTAAAAATGCAGGAAAGGAGCCCAATGCAAAAAAAGAGACAGAGAAGCAGAAGAGAACAAACGGAGAAGCCGAGCCCAAGCAACAGAAAAGCTGCCAGACAAGCAGACGCTGCTGCAGCTGCTGCAGCTGCTGCAGGTGCTGCAGGTGCTGCAGGTGCTGCAGCTGCTGCAGCTGCTGCAGCTGCTGCAGCAGCGGAAGGGGACAAAGAGAGACAAGCAAGGACAGCAGAAGGGTCCCAGCAGAGCAAGAGAAAAGGAGACAGTCCTGGGGCCGCAGCAGCAGCAGCAGCAGCAGCAGCAGCGGGGCGACGCAGCAAAAGAGAAACAGGGCCTTCGTGGGCCCCAAAGAGACACAAAGATAGCTCTTTCAGCAGCAGCAGCAGCAGCAGCAGCAGCAGCAGCAGCAGCAGCAGACCCAGGGGGCCCACCTCAGGCAGGGGCCCCTCTTTCTCCTTCAGCAGCCACAAAGAGGCCCCCCCATCTCTAGTGCTCAGTGCCAAGCAGCGGCAGCAGCTGCCCCGCAGCCCCGCAGCGCAGCGCCGGGGGGCCCCCCGGGGGCCCCCCGGGGGGCCCCCCGGCTGGGGAAAGGTCAGCTCTGAGAGGGCAAAGGCTGGCAGCCAGCACACGCACAGGAACCTGCGCAGCAGCCGCAGCAGCAGCAGCAGCAGCAGCAGCAGCAGCACCTGCAGCGGATGCTGGTGCTGCTGCGGGGCAGTGCGGCAGTCGCCGCAGCAGCAGCAGCAGCGATAGCAGCGCGGCTGCAGCAACTGCAGCAACTGCAGCAACTGCAGCAAGAGCCGCTGCAGCGCCAGCGGCCGCGCTGCAGCAGCAGCAGCAGCAGCAAACCCCAGCCCGCCCCTTACTGCATGCAGCTGCATGCAAAAAAGCCCCAAAATCAAAAAGCTTCCTCACCTTCTGCAATGGGGAATAGAATAAGTCCCCATTAGCATTTCCCTAACTGCCACGAGGGCCCCCGCAGCCCTCGAGGCCCCATCCTCTTCGTCCCCAGGGGGCCCCCTGGGGGCCCCCCACCGCTCAGGGGCCCCCGGGGGGGCCCCCGGGCAGTCGGCAACAGCCAACAGAGCCACGGGGGAAGCCAAGTTGCCCGTGTGGGGGCTGGGGGCCTCTGAGTTTGCTGCTGCTTGAGAATCCAAAACTAAAAGAGCAGCGCCATCAGAAAGAGCCAGGAAACGACTGTCTCTTGAAAGAGATAGAGAAGCTCCTGCTGCGCAAAATGCTGCAGCAGCAGCAGCAGCAGCAGCAGCAGCAGCAGCACAGCCCGCGCCCCGCGTAAATCGACGCAGCAACGCAGACGCCCAGCGATCACGCAGCAGCAGCAGCAGACGATGATGATGATACAGCAGCAGCAGTCGCTGCAGCAACGGCTGCAGCAACACCAGAAACTGCAGCAGCAGCAGCTGCTGCTGCTGCTGCAGATGCAGCAGCAGCAGCAGCAGCAGCAGAAGCAGCAGCAGCAGAAGCATACAACACACGTCCTTTGGCCTACCAGGGGGCCTCCTCAGAACTCCCCTCCAGACGACTCCGTGGGACTTGAGGCTCAAAGAAATCAAATCCTGGGGCCCCCCAAAAAGCCCCGCAGGAGTCCCGTGGGGGCCCCCTGGGGGCCCCCTTGGGGGGGGCCCCTCAGGGGCCCCCCCCTGGGCCCCCGTGGGGCCTAGGGGGGCCCCCTCCTCGCAGGCAAGCAGCTCTGTAGGGGCCATGAGCCCCGGGGCTGGGGCCTCGGGGCTGGGGGCCCCAGAAGGCGCCGCCAAGGGGCTCAGGCTGGGGCCCCTGGGGCCTTTGCCGTGGCCCTGGAGGCTTGGGGGCCCCTGAGAACAATATTGAGGCCCTTGAGGCTTTTATTTTACTTTTTAATTGAAAAAAAGACCCAAAATGATACTCAAATGGGGGAAATGCTCCCCACGGGTGTGCCTCATCGGGGGGCCCCCCGGGGGCCCCCAGATCTCGAACCCACTGCCTTCTGCAGCGAAGAGATCTGCGGCTGCAAACCCTAAACCCTAATTCAGTGTTTTTTATTAAAATATATTATTTTGGACCCTGAAAAGAAAGAAAGCGAGAAGCCGAGGGTTTACGTCTGTTGCTGAGGCCGCCTGCGGTGTATGTACACCTCAAACTGGAGCTCACAAGGAAGCAGCAGCAGCAAGGAATGCAAAAGACAGAACTTGCTGCTGCTGCTGCAGCGTGTGTATAGGGCGGGAGGAGCCGCAGCAGCAGCAGCAGCAAGCCACACAAGGTCCAGCAGAGGCGGCAGCAACAGCGCGCCATAGTAAGAGCAGCAGCAGCAGCAGTAACGGCACGCCACAGTGAAAGGAGCAGCAGCAGCAGCAGCAACATGCTAAAGTGAGAGCAACAGCAGCAGGAGCAGCAGCAGCAGCAGCAGCAGCAGCAGCAGAAGAGGAAGCAACAGCATGGCACAGTGAGAGCAGCTGCAACCGCAGCAGCAGCACGCCTCAATGAGAGCAGAAAGTGCCGCAGCAGGAGCAGCAGCAAAAGCGAAACACAGCCAAAGCAGCAGAAGGAGCAGCAGCAGCATGGCACAGTAAGAGTAGCAGCAGCAGCAGCAGCAGCAGAAGGAGCAGCAACAGCATGGCACAGTAAGAGTAGCAGCAGCAGCAGCAGCAGCAACAGCAATAATAATAACAAGGGTTCAAGTCCAGCGCTTGGCAGACACTCCATTCCTTTCAGTGTAGAGCAGCAACAGCAGCAGCAGCAGCAGCAGCAAAAGTAGCAGCCGCTGCTGCTGCTACTGGCTGCTGCTGCTGCTTGCCCAGTTGGCAAGCCCCTTGCTGCCGAGGCAGGCCCCGCTCTCTGCTGCAGCTGCTGCTGCAGCATGCTGCAGCAGCAGCAAAACTATTAGCAGCAACAGGTGCTGTGGCTCAAGCAGCTGCAGCAGCGCTGCAGCAGCAGAATCAGCAACTGCAGCACAAGGCGCAGCAGCAGCCAAAACAAGTTCAACAGCTGCAGCAGCAGGCAGGATGCTGCTGCTGCAGCAGCAGCAGCAACAGAAGATACAGCTGCGCCGGCCGGCACCGCAGCGGGCTCTGCAGGCACAGCAGCAGCAGCAAAAGAAGCAGCAGCAGCAGCAGCAAAAGGAGCAGCAGCAGCAGCTGCTGCTGCTGCAGCACGGCAGATGCAGCGGGCCTTCAGAGCTGCTGAGGCTGAGGGGCTTTGCGGGGCTCTGCAGCACCACGGGGCTGCAGTTTCAAACCCTTCGCAAACCCTAAACCCTAAACCCTTAAACAGCGTATACACCCCAAAACGCTCCTACGCAGAGCTGCTCTCAAACCTCTTCGGAAGGCCCCCGCTGCAGTTCGAACTTAAAGGAAATGAGGCAGAAGCAGACTCACTGCAGCAGCAGCAGCAGCAGCAGAAGGAGCAGCAGCAGCAGCAGCAGCAGCAGCAGCTGGCAGCAGATGAGATGCTGCTTATTGTCATACCCTTCAGGAACAGATTTGAGCACCTGCAAATCATGTTAGAGAGAGTTTCAAACTACCTCGATACCCTGATACTGCAGCAGCAGCAGCAGCAGCAGCAACAGCAGCAGCAGCTGCAGCAGCAGCAGCAAGAAGGCTGGCCCCGTGGAACGACGCAGTTTTGCTTCGTAGTGGCGGAGCAGCAAGACAAGGGCCCTTTCCACAGAGGTGAGGCAGCTGTTTTATTTTATTTTGTTTTTATTTTTTATTTTGTTTTCATTTTGGACTTAATGTTTTTTTCATTTGGCGCCACTTTCTCCTGCTGCAGCAGCTGCAGCAGCAGCTACAGCAGCAGCTGCAGCAGCAGCTGCTGCCGCAGCAAAAGCAGCTACAGCAGCAGCTGCAGCAGCAGCTGCAGCAGCTGCTGCAGCAGCAGCTGCAGCAGCAGCTGAAGCTTGCCTCTGTCTCAGTCTTCGTGTCTCCTCCGCAGTTTCTGCTGCAGCTTTGGCTGTAACGCGCAATATTGAAGACGCGATTTCCTCTTGCTGCTGCTGCTGCTGCTGCTGCTGCTGCTGCTGCTGCTGCTGCAGGCCTCCTGCTCAATGCCGGCTGCCTGTGGGCTGCGCTCCACAGGCGGCTGCTGCCAGCAGCCTCCGCCGCCGCCGCAGCAGCAGCAGCAGCAGCGCCAACTGCAGCCGCCGCGTCAGCAGCATCTCCCACTGCTGCTGCAGCAGCAGCAGCAGCAGCAGCAGCAGCAGACTTCCCCGCTGCTGCGCTTTGCAGCAGCTCCTGGGGCCCCGCAGCAGCAAAAGTAATTAATTTAATTCGCTTTTCGAAAAGTCTTTTTGTTTGTCTTCATGATGCCGATTGTGTCCCCAAAAAAACTCCCTTTGAGGCAAAAAGAAGAAAAGAAAAACTTTGTGAGGCACTTGCATGCATGCATGCATGCATGCATGCATGCATGCATGCATGCATGCATGCACAAACATGCATGCATGCATGCATGCATAAAGATACATACATTCCAAACCCCAAGTACTATACATGTATTTATTTGCGTACTAGTATATGTTAGTATAGATGCACGTATAAATATATATAGATAGATATATACAGATATATATGTATATTTATTTATATTTGGGTATATTTATATTTATATTTATATTTATATTTATATTTATAGTTATAGTTATATTTGTATTTGTATTTCCACTTACATATATATCTATATTTGTGTTTATGCTTGTATTTATATTTATACTTATATTTATATTTATATTTATATTTGTATTTATATTTATGTTTGTATAGATAGAGGAATGGGTGTAATAATAGATAATGCCATTATACACATGCGGCTCTCTTTGTGCATACAAGCAATATTTGGTATGAATATATTTCTATATATATCCGTACATATATATATATATATATATATTTATATATATTTAAATATATATGTATATATGTACATATATATATATATATATATATTCTTACATATATATACATATACATTTGGGGGGAGAATAAATAAATAAATAAATATGTATTTATGTTTGTGTATGAGTGAAGACAAGCATATCCACGTATCGACGTGTTTGCTGCGGCTGCTGCTGCTGTTGCTACTCCTGCTGCTGCTACTCCTGCTGCTGCTACTCCTGCTGCTGCTACTCCTGCTGCTGCTGCTGCTGCTGCTGCTGCTGCTGCTGCGTCAGGCGCCTACCTGCCGGCGCCCCGCAGAGGCGTGGTGCGGCATTTGTACGGAGAGCCCTGGGCTTTGTCGATGGTCTTTTGTCTTCTTCTCGAGGACTTCGTAGCAGCAGACGGTGAGCTGCAGCAGCTGCAGCAGCTGCAGCAGCTGAAGCAGCTGCAGCCGCTGCAGCAACTGCAGCAGTTGCACAAACTGCAGCAGCTGCAGCTGCATGCATCCCCGAAGGCCCAGCTGCGCCGCATGCATGCGCTGCAGCAGGCCCCAGGAATGCTGCAGCAACTGCATGCAGGTGCTGCATGCAGCTTTAGCAGATGCGGGGCTTCTCGGGGCTGTTTGCTGCTTGCTGCTGCGGTCCCTGGGGCCCCAGGCGGCTCTAGCCAAGGGCCCGAGTCCTAAACCCTCAACCCTAAACCCTAAACCCTAAACCCTAAACCCTAACTTTTGGACTTTTGCCGTTCTGCAGGCCACGACCTTCGCTACGAGGGCTGGGGCTTTGAAGATGAAGATTTCTGCATGCGTTGTCGGCGGTCGGGGCTGTACGTACAGCGCAGCCCGCTTGCTGCTGCTGCTGCTGCTGCAGCTGCTGCTGCAGCAGAAGCCGCAGGCGCAGCTGCATCAGCAGGTGGAGCGGCGGCCCTGGCGACGGAAGCTGCAGCTGAGGACGCTGCACCTGCTGCTGCTGCTGCAGCTGCTGCTGCGGCGCCGGCAGCACTTTGTGACTCTGGCTGCTGCAGCTCGACCTTCAGCCGCCGACTTTGCTGCTGCTCTCCTTTTGCTGAACTGGACTTGTCATCTCGTGAAGACTTTCAAAAAGAGGTGAAGCTGAAGCTGCGGACTTTGCATGCAAGACGCAACCGCCGCCTCTTCTGTAGCATTTGGCCTGACAGCAGCAGCAGCAGCAGCAGCAGCAAGAGGAACGCGAGCAGCTGCCTCGAGCGCAGCAGCAACTGCTGCAGCGCCACAGCGCAGCAGCGTGGCACTGCAGCACTAACGAGTCCAGGAGCTTCCAGACAAGACTTAGGAAGCAAATACGGTAGGCAGCCATTTTTCGCAGGGGCCCCCAAGGGCTCTTTGGGGCCCCCAAGGGGCTGAGGGTCTCAAGGGGCCCCTGGGGACCCCTGAGGCCTCCTGGGGCCCCCTGAGGCCCCCTGGGGCCTCGTGGGGCCCCCTGGGGCCTCCTGGGGCCCCCTGGGGCCCCTTAGCTGCAGAGGCTCTGCAGAGAGATTTGTTTGGGGGCTCTGGAAGCTGTGGCAATTTGGGGCAGAAGTGTGCATGTAAAGGAAAAGGTCCATTATGAGCTGCACAACAAAACAGCAACTTGAAATCAGTTTTTAGCCCACAAAGAAAGTCCCATTAGGGGCTTTTTGCCGCATGCACGGGGCTGCATGCATGCAGAGACGGGAGCGCATGCAAAGCCGGGACTGCATGCGTTTTGGGGCTTTTCCGCAGCCACCAGCGCCTACACTGCATAGCCGGGGCCCCACAGGCTTGCATAATGCTTACAAACTGTTTATGAAATAGTTTATGTTTAGGTAAAACGGAAATGTTTATTATTGAGAAAGTTTTATAAATTCGTGAAAAGCCATTATATGCATTTGAACTACAATTCGTACTTTTGCTGCATGCGCATGCGCCCAGTCTCGGGCTCTTTCTAATGCACATGATTCTGCATGCAGAAATAAAACCATTTGAAGTTGTTTTTGCTTAAGTGGTTTTTGCATTAAACAACTTTTGCTTCTTCGAGATGTTCGTGCTGCAGCACGAGCAGCAACTTGTTTTTGCATTTGCAGGCCTGAGACACACGCAGCAGCTCTTGAACAGCGGAGCCCTTTTGCTGTCAGTCGAGCCCTGGCCCTGCAGCGGCGCTGCTGCAGCCGCAGCAGCAGCAGAAAGCGCAGCAGCAGCAGCAGCAGCAGCAGCGGTGCCAGCGGCTCCAAAAACAGTGGCGTCATTGCCTGCAGCTACGGCAGCAACAGCAGCAGGACCAGCAGCAGAAACTGCTGCTGCTGCCTCCCCTTCTGCAGCTACAAATGTCAGAGAGAAAGGCAAATGCCCTGCAGCTGGTGCCTCTCCAAAGCAGCAGCTTCTGGCGAAGTATGGGCCCCGTCTTGTGTGGCTTAATGTGCGCCTGTTGGACCCTTTTCTGGGGTGTCTCAGCGAGTTGGGGGCCCATGGGGGCCCCAGGAGCCCCCTAGGGGCTCATGGGGGCCCCTTGGGGGCCCCTGGGGGCCCCTTGGGGGCCCCTGAGGGCCTGTGGGGGCCCCCGGAGCAGCCAGGAGATGCTACTGCCGTAGATCTAGTCCCCTAAACCTGCGCCGGGCAGTCCAGAGTCTTCAAATGTGAAGTTTGAAGTGTGCAGCAGCACAAGAGGCTGCAGCAAAATGAAAGGAGCAGCACAGCGGGCTGCAGCAAAGCGAAAGGCAGCAGCGCAGCAGGGCCAAGTGCCGGCTGGGGATTTGGCGGCCTTTTGGTGGCTGGTGAGTTCAGGCGCAATTGAAGTTTTTTCTTTCTGTGTCTCGTTATGTCCTTTCTGATTATTTTAATCTTTTAATTGTCCATTTTGTGTCACTTTTTGCACTATTTGGCGCCAGATTTGGGGCAAAAAGAGAACAAAAAATAGTACAATTTTCTCATTCATGTTTGCATGCGTGCAGGAGGCGAAGCCGGGGAGCTGCATGCGCACTGCATGCACAGCAGCAGCAGGCCGGGCTGGCAAGCATGTTAAGCTCAATTTATGTATTAAATATGAATATATGCATGAATAATTATATATATTACATATATATATATTGTATATGTATAGAGAAACATATTGGGGCAAAACATCGCAGAAAATGCCGCAGGATTGAGCCCCCAGAGCTTCAGTGAAGTAGCAGCAGCTCTGTGGCTGCTGCTACAAGAGCCACAAGTGCACATACACCTGAAACAAAAGCTACCCCACACAACCTATTCTCTCTAAACTTTGAAAAGACAGAAGCTGCCAGCTCGAGAGCTGAGGGGCATCCGCAGCCGTGCAGTGCCTGCTGCACTGGCTAGCCACACCTAGCTAGCTAGCTAGCTAGCTAGCTAGCTGTAGCCTTCTTGCAGCGGCTACACAGGTGGCTAGCTGCCGGCGTAGGGTCTGGCGGTAGCCCCAATCATTTGCATGCACATGCAGTGACAGCTGTGCAAGCATTTAGCCCTAGAATTCCTTCCTTTCTTTTGGTTTTCCTTATCTGAGTTTGAACATTTGCAGATTATTTAGGAAAATGAATAATGTCCTCTTGGCTAATAAGGATGCTGCTGCACTAGATAGAAAGGCGCTCAGAAAAAGACAAAAAACAGCTGAGACCCTACTGCCGCCTTTTTCCCAGGCTCCCCGTGAGCAGCAGCACAGCAGCGCAGCAGCACAGCAGCGCAGCAGCACAGCAGCGGAGCAGCACAGCAGCGCAGCAGCACAGCAGCGCAGCAGCAGCAACGGAAAGGCAAAGGCAAGCAGCAAAGCAAGGCCTGAGGAGGCAGCAGCAGAGCGGCAGTGCCGGCAGCAGCACAGAATGGAGAAAAGGGAAAACGAAAAAACAAATGAGGTCCATTGGTCCAGTGTTTTCTTTAAATCGAGTCTGCCCTGTCCTGTACAAAACAGTCCATTCAAGTCAGATTAGTTGGCAAATTTGTCGAAGACGAATTTGGAGTTTTTAAGGCACTGATGTTTATCTTCGGAGTTGCCATTGCCCAACTCCCAGCAGTGGCATCTCCAGCGGAGAGGCGCTTTCTCTGGTGGCTCCCACTAGATGCATGCGGGGGCCCCCCGGGGGGCCCCCCTGCATGCTGGGGGGCCCCCCCGGGGACCCCGTGGGGCCCCCCTGCATGCAGTTCACTGCTGTGTGGCCCTTGCGGCTGCTCGTCAGGAACCTTCGAGAGACTCTCGCTGGATTCGGCGGGCAGAAGCTCGTCAGGCTTTGCAGCAGCTGCTGCTGCTGCGCCTGCTGCTGCTGCAGCTGCTGCAGCATCAAGTGGGGGCACTATCTGCGGCCTGCTGCGGCTCCCGCTCTCAGCCGCGCGTGCAGCGCCTGCTGCTCGGTCTGCTGCAGAAGGGCCTGGAGGCGCAGCACCTGCTGCTGCTGCTGCTGCAGGCTGCTGCGGAGCAGCTGCTGCTGCATGCAGCTGCGACCGTGGGGGGGCTGTGGGGCTGGACTTGTTCATTAACTTAGGGGGGGCCTTCAAGACCCCCGCAATGATGCGGGAGGGGCCCCCTGAAGCCCCGGCCCTAGTGCCGAGCCTAATGATGGGCTGCTGCATCTCTTCAGGGTTTTCTTCTGCATTAAAAGCTGCTGCTGCTGCTGCTGCTGCATTTCTTTTCTCAAACTCAACTCCACTTTCCCACTCCGTCTTCACTCTAGCTGCCTTGGGCTGCGAGGAAGACAAGGGAGCCCCTTGTGGGCCCCCCCCTTCTCCCGTTTTCTTTTCCCTCATTTCTGTCCCCCGCGCCCGAGGCCCCCCTGCTGCCCAGGCGTCGCTGTGCTCCCGAGAGGCCTCCGTTGCTGCTGCTGCTGCTGCTGCTGCTGCTGCTGCTGCTGCTGTTTCTGTGGCGATCCCGGATGGACGCGCACTCCCTTTTTGCGCAGTCACCGTCACTACGGGGCCCTCCACAGCTTCTGGTTTGTCCCCCAAATACTTCCGCAGAAGTCCTTCAACTTCTGTTTCCTGGGGCCCCTCAGCTGGCGTTTTTGCTGCTGCTTTTGCTGCACCTTTGCTGCTGAGGGCCACGGGCGGCGACTTGGACTTCGCCGTTTCTCCTTCGTGGCTGCTGTCAAGGGCCTTGGGCCTCACTGGCTCTGCAGGGGCTGCTGCTGTGGAACCAGCTGCTGGCGCTGCTGCTGAGCTGCTGCTGCTGCTGCTGCTGCTGCTGCTGCTGCTGCTCTCTTTTGGCTCTGCTACCCTCACCCTGCTCTGCGCCATATCCCCAGAGGCTCCGCTTTGTTCTCCCCTTCCCCCCGCCAAAGCACGGCGGGTTTGAAAGGCCGGCGCCATGCCTTCTTCACCTGCTGCTGCTGCTGCTGCTGCTGGCTTTGCTGCTGCTGGCGCTGCTGGTGCTGCTTTGAGTGCTGCAGCTCCTGGTGCTGCTTGGGGTAAGGAGGGAGGAGGTGGGGGAGGAGGCCCCTTATGCAGTACCCGACTTTCCTGTGTTGCAGCTGCAGCTCTTTCAGCAGCTTCTCCGAGTGCTGCTGCTGCTGCTGCTGCTCTGGGCGATGTGGCTGCAGGCGGCGCCGCCGCCGCCGCCGCCGCTGCTGCTGCTGCTGCTGCTGCTGCTGCAGCTGGACTGGGACTTCTCAGGGTCCTGACAGTTGCGACGGAACCAAAAGAATCTATTCTGGACAGCCTGGACTCCCCAAAAGGGGCTCTGTTGCTGCGGCGGCTGCTGCTGGGGGCGCTGCCCTCCATAAAGGCAATTGCCTGGGCCCGGGCTATTTGGCTTCTGGGGCTGAGGGGCTGCTGCTCCTCTTCTTCATGAACTTTTCTGCTTTTTGCTGCTGCTGTGTCTGCAGCGTCTTGCAGCTCAATGTGGATTCTGCGGCCTCCGGGGGCAACAGACCGCAGGGAGGCTCTGGAGGCACTTCGCCTCGCGCCGGCTTCTTCTGCTGCTGCTGCTGCTGCTGCTGCTGCAGGCTCGCCGGCCTGTTCTTGCTGCGCGTGCTGCAGTGTCGACTTTTTCTCCTTCTCAGCTGCCTTTATGAAGGCGCTGCTGAAAAAGGCAGAAAGCCGGTCCACATCAGCATTGCCCTTGCCCTGTACAGACACCCCATCAGCAGCGCTGGGGGCCCTCTTAGCCGCCTCTGCTGCTGCTGCTGCTGCTTCTGTTTCTGCTGCTGCTGGCCTGGAGAACACCGGGGTCACTACAGACCGTGGGCTCGCTGGTAGAGTCAGAGTGAGCTGGTGGCGATGGGGGCCCCCGCGAGGGCCCCCTTGGGGGCCCCCGCGGGGGCTTCTCGGGGAAATGCCACTAAGATCGTTTTCGTGAGAGGCACTTCTGAGGCTAGGCTGCTTCAAAGCAAGGCTGCGGGCTGTCTGCCCTTCCGGGGCCCCTCTCCCTGCTTTCGCCTGGGACTGCGTGCTGCTGCTGCGCTGCAGCAGCACCATTCCAGAATCTTGCAGAGACTGCCGCGAAGTCCCGCGGGAAATGGAAGAGGGCCTGTGCAGCTCTTGGGTCGCAGGGAGAGTGGGGGCACTGGCGGACTTTGGGGCCATGAGAGAAGCAGCAAGTCCCGCAGCAGCAGCAGCTGCTGCTGAGACGAAGGAGTCGGGGGCCCTCTGCAGCTCCGGCGCGCTGGGACTTTGCGACTTCCGCGCTTTTGCTGCTCCCTGCTCCCCTGAAGCAGCAGCAGAAGCCACAGAAGAAACCCTGCGGCTGCTGGCCAGAGAAAGCCGGGAAGCTGAACGGCCCAAGACAGGCCGATCCCGAGGCGAAGAAGGTGGGGCCTCGTGAGTGTCTGGCGGCTGCAGTGCTGCTGCCACTTTCCCCGAATTCTTCTTTTTAGCAGCTGCTGCAGCAGCTGCAGCAGTTGCAGATGCTGCAGCTGCTGCAGGCTGCGCAGCAGCATGGCCGCCCCGGCTGGCTGAACGAGACCGACCCTCAGCCGAAGAGTCCCACCGGTAGCCTTTGTAGACAGGGTGAGATGCCTTCCAGGCAGCGAGATCATCTCTGAAATGCGAAAAAGGTAAATGCAAATGGAATGCACAAAAAGGTAAATTCCCTCAAAGTCTGAGTCCCAGGCCTGAGCCCCCACTTGCTAAAGCTGATATAGACTAACTCCAGAGATGAACACAGTGCAAAAAGAAATTGCAACTTCAGGTGACTGCATATTAGTTGTAAATGAACTTCTGAAAAGTGGCAAAAGGAGAGAACCTACCTTTCTTTGCGAAGCTTCTCCATCTGCAGCTGCAGCTCGTGGGCCTTTGCCTTAGCCGCAGCAAAATCAGCTTCCTGCACTCTGCGGCGAAAACAGCACTCGCATATGCAGCAGTGAAACATGAAAATGTGCATTTGAACAAGTTCGAAAGTGCATAAACAATGCCCTGATACTAAGATGGTTCAGTTCTCTAAGTTGTGTCTTTTTAATTAAATTACAAGGAATACTCGTAGGCCTATGAGTATATTAGAAAGTGCGCAAAGCTGTGAACTTGCATAAAAGAAAAGCAAAGTTCTCACAAGTTCACAACCCTCACGGAAAATCATAAAAGGATGAAAAAGCCAACCAGCATGAGCTGTATCAGCAACTGCTCTCTGAGTGGCATTGCTAACGGGGTGAAGCTAGGGCGACAGATATTTTC